TAAAAATTTAACCAAATAAAGTTCATTTAGTATACTATAATATGAATCAAAAATCTCATTTTTTGTTGAAAGGTCATTTTTTAATAGCAAAGCTCTCATATGAGAAGACATCCTCATTTAATGTAGAAAATAATTATAAAATTCAAGTTCAACGATTCAAACTTACCCATTGTTTTTTCACAAAGACAAGAATCAGCAACACGAACACAAATAAAACGATTTTTTTAGTTGAACAGATCTAAAATTAGGAAATGAAATGTTGCAATTTTTACAGAAAAGAATGAAAAAAATCAAGAAAATCAAGATAAAGGAAAATTTAACAATAATAATAGCTCATGGAAGTGTTTTTGTTCTTACCGTGAACGTTCTTCCCTGTTTCCGATGTCTTCCACACCTGTGGAAGTTTAAATTAAATGGTAAATAGGATGCATGAATCAAAGAATTGAAAGCTCATCGTGGCCACAGTTACAAACGACTGCGAACGTTCTTCTTGATTCATTACGATTATGACACAAGTACTCACATTTCACAGTATTATTTATTTTTTAGTTGACCTTGGTTGAAATCGAATGCAAAAAACATTATCAGAAATCAGTTTGTATTTTTTTTTTTTTTTAAAACAAGTGAATAAATTAATTATTCAAACGAAGGAAATTTCTATAAAAATTTTGATGTTTTTATTAGATCTTGAAAACAACCGCACCAACGGCAAAGCCTTCTCTTTATCTACACTCTCGTGATGAAATTTTTGATATATTTGCTTCATGCATGTAATAGCTTTATATTGTGATTATTTGAAATTTTATTATTTATTTATATTCCCACTTCAAAATGTTCTAATTTCTTCTCCACTATTCGAAACTCCCATTTTCAAAAATATTCAGCAAGAAAATTAGATCCTAAACGAAAATTTATTCAGCCATGCGAATATAATCCTTGAGTTTATCCCATGCGGACGAAACTTTCATTTTTTAAATAATCTGCAGTGAAATTTAAAAGTCATACGATCAAAATTGTTCCATTTTTTTGTATCTCAAAAATTGAATAAAATTATCTTGAAAGTTGATTGATGAAATTAATCAAGCAAGCTTTTTTGCCAAATTATTTTGAACGGAATTAGCGAAATGAATAAATGAAAATAATAAATCAATCATATAACAATTATCGATTTATTGAATTAAAAAAAGACACATTTATCGAATCAAAAAGTAATACAAAACTCTGCCGAAAAAGGTGTTATCAAAATTTTTGACAGATCATATAAATTATTATTGTTAAAAAACCTGTTTAAAACCGGATCAATATTTTTTTTGTTTAAATAAAAAAAATATTTGTAATCAATAATTTTATGTATCATGCAGTTTTTTTTTTTGTGTAATGAGAAAATAAATTGTCAATAAAAAATTTTATATTGAAATTTTTTATATTATTTACTTTAAAAAGCAGACTGATCAAAATCTATTCGTTTCTTTCTCACGCCCTAATTAATTAATTTTTAATTATATAAACAGCAAAATATTTTGTTCCTTTTTTTAAAAAAAAAATTTTTTTACTAATACATTAAAATGGGAAGAACTTATAAAAAGGAGTTTTTCAAACGACAACAAAGACAAATACGTCGACGAAGGGAGCAAGAAGAGCGGCAAAGAATAGAGTTGTTGCACGCGCAGATCCAGCAACAACATGAGCCGCCGCCGCCATATTTTTCGGAAAACAGCGACACTGAGCGCGAACTTGCGCAACTTCGTGTCCAAATCGATGAGCTTCGTGCTAGGCTTATACAAATAAATGAGTCGGGCCAGCGCGAAGTTCATATTCTCGAGGAGAGGATACGTGCGTTAGAAAGTAAGCTACCTTTTAATATCAGATTTTTTCAAAAATTATTATTATTACATCTTTTATATTTATTTTTCGTTTTAAAGGGCAAATGGAGGCGGAAATCTCGGAGGACGAGGAAGAAGAAGAAGGAGAAGAAGGGGAAGGGGAAGGGAAAGAAGGGGAAGAACGGGATTAAATTTATCCTTATAAATGACAATTTTTATTTTTTATTTGCTTTATTGATGTTGAAATTACCAAATAATAAATTTTAAAAACCTCCGAAATATAAAGGTTCCCATGCTAATGATATTAAATACTTTACATTATTGAAAAAAAGTGAGGTGATTAAAAATGTGTTCTTCGGCTAAGTACTCGAATTGATGATATCACGTGCCAATTATATACTAATATTATATTGATAAAATCCAATCACATGCATGTACAGTGATGATTAAAATTTGACGGCTTTGAATAAAAAATTTTTTTGGTGGTGGTTTTTCATTGTAAAGTTTTTTTTTAAAATTGACTAAAAACTAATTAGAAAAATGAAATAAATAGTATTGCATTCAGTTCTTTAATGGTTATATTTATTTATGAATGAAGAAGGTTTTTAATTATAATGATGTTATGCAAAAATTATTTAATAAAAATTAATAAATGTCGATCGTTGCGAAATTAACTACGGTCATTAAAAAAAACTACTTCAAGCAAATAACACAATCTGGATTATATAAAGATTTGTTATATTAATTTACATTTTATTTTTAAATTTGGAATATTCCGACCTAAAGTCCAATGTAGTGCTCCGTAAGGGTCGGGTCGGGTCGGATTTGAAGCATATTCGAACTCGAACCCGTTAATATTTACAGGACCCGAATTCGACTCGACCCGATTATTGTTTAACCCGACACGATTATTTTAAACTCGAGTTTTAAGGGTAATATTAATACAGAAGTAATAAATTTATTAATACAGATAATGAAAAGAGTGTCTTTGGTTGTACAATAATTCGAATTCAGTATATTATTGCCACCAGGAATTCAAACACATACAGGCGCGAATTGTATTAGCTTTAAAACTCATTTTCAGGGACACTCATTGCTTTATTAAAATATTTTCATTTTTATTTTAATGATGACGTTCTAAATGATACCAAAGATTTGTTGTATTTGAATCCCATGTTATTTTCCTATAAACTTTATCAAAAAAATAATAATAACTTGTAATATCCCTTAAATGGTAATGATTTTCATTCATTTTTAGTCATGATTTTCAATCAATTATTATGCAAAATTCTACATAAAAAACTTACAATTTTTTTAATTTTTAGTTTAAAATTTATTATAAATCTATTATTTTTAAATTAAAATTTCATTTTTAATAAAATTTTCAACTTTTAAATATATAAATAAATGTTTTAAATATAAATTTATATATTTTGTAAAGTATTTTAATATTATAAAAATAAAAATTTTAGCTTTTATAAAGAAAATACTTTTATTAAAATATTTTTAAAACTTTGAACTTAAATTAATGCAAAAGTTACTAATTAATGTAATATTTTTTTTGATTTTACTTAAAAAACATAAATTTTATTATAATAATATTATTAGTTTAATAACTAATTTTTAATATATTTAAAATTAACTTTAAAGTGTAAGTAAAATTCCTTCTAAATTTGGAAGGAAAACCATTGAAGGGATACATCATTATGCACTATTGAAAATACATACGAGCAGTTAAGACATCTAACTTCTCGATGAGTTTTTGAATTTTTTGATCAGATAGAAGAATACTGTTTTCGAAAAATTCTTTCGCAAAAAGATCATTCGCAATGCTTTTCGTTTTCCAATTGAAGCTGTATTAATGGAAATAGTCGAGTAAGAATTGGTAAATCAGCTTAGGGATTGAAATCGTTTCAAAAATTGTAAAATTGTTCCAAAAATCAAAGAGTCGATTTTAAAATCGGCTGCTAAAAACAATTTTCAATTCCAGTTTTGAAAATTAGTATCGGCAAAACGATGTATATTATAATTTATGATGAAATTTTACAGTGACTAACACGTGACACGAGTTATACACTATAAACAAAATATTAGATTGTTCACTCTAATTAAATTTAATTGCTTCATATATAATATAAATAAACTATCGATTTTATATATACGATGTATGCCGGTTAAAGCTTGAGATTCAAAATTGTTTTTAGCGCGACTTTCGATTCCGAATCTGCTGCACCATAAAATTTACTGTGCCTCCTTTAGTTTGGTAATTATCACGATATTTCTCAAAAAAATTTCATCGACAAAAAGATAATTCCTTTTCCTTGCTTGTTATTATAATAATTTGGTAGATTATGCGGATATTATTTTAGTGCTATAGGAAACCTATTAAAATACTATTTAATTCAGAAGTTTCCAAAGTAAATACTGTTTATATTATATTTCTTAAAAATCTTGAAACTTCGCCTCCTTTTTAAAGTTAACAAAATCCTTCTCGAAAACTCGTTCGATTTGTAATTTAACATATTTTCTTCTACTGATGAATATAAAGGTCATGAAAATACGTATGTAAAAATCATTTGGGAGGTATTTTATTAAAATAATGTTCGATTATACTTATTCTTAATAGCAATTGATCCGTTTTTATTAAATTTCTAAATTTTATATAATTAAGAAGGAATTTGATTACTTGATTACGATAAGTGTATGACCGACTATTAAAATAAAAACTAATTAATAATGCCATTTTAGAAAGTGTACATATCGAATTGCTTTGGGTCATTGCATTTAACTAGATCGCAATTTATCTTGAATATATCAACATAGTGTACCGGCGGCATTGTATTTATGCAATTGACATCAGAGCGTCTGCTAATTTAATACTGTAAAATTTCTGCAACAACAGATACCATCTTATGTTCATTAAAATGCTCTTCTGCGGATGGCAAATAGGCAGATTATAAAAAAGAATTTTGCTTTTCTATTGTCTAATTATAAACATCACTTTATCTTCACATTAGGTCTTCCAAAATCCGAATTAATCGAAAATAAAACAAAAAGATTTTCGGTTAAGACGGCAATAATGGGTCCTGAGTCATAATTCCTGTCATAGCCTTATAAAATTTATTTAGAATTGATAAAAAACAATATTCAAAAAACAATTAAATTTGATCGATGCAATAATCAAAAAAATGACTTTGACAAATTGTCCAACTCGAAAGAGGAATTATAAGAAAAATAAAAGATAAAATCAAAAGCGCAGCAAATAAAAACATTTCAATCGCTGTGACCCGATCAAACCACAATTTTTTAAAAAAAAATATATAAACGGAGTATAAATGAAAATAAGAAACTCATACGGCGCTGCGTACTCAAAAATGATCGAAACCGAAAGTAGATAAAAAAAAACTATCAAAAAAAAAGATCAATAAAAGATGATAGTATATGATAGTAACATAAAAAAAGATAAAAAATTATGCCAAGTAATTGATTAATGAATAATAATTTTCTTAAAATTTCCTTTAGTGGTTGTCCGAACTCGCGTATACTTTCTCGAATCCAATCCCTACTTCTGATGTTCCAAATGTAAGATCAAGTTTCAATAATTCCAATCTTTTCCACGCAAATAGATGCACAAGTAAAATTGTGTTATTAGAGGTTTCTTAATCCAGTCGACAAAATTGAAACTTACGTCGTGACTTCCAAGGTAACTGTTATTTAGAGCAATGTCCATAGTATTGTCTTGATTTAACTATACATCGTCAATTCCGATTAATTCTTTATTTTTTGTTGATGCTTTTTAAAAAATAAATAAATAAAAAAAATGTGCAATGAATATAAGCATCGAACTCAGTTAAAAGATATATTTTATAAAATAACGATATACTTCTGGTTGAATATAGTTCTGCAGAGATTTAATTTTCTAAGGAGTAACAATTTCTTACACGAAGGAGGGTGAAATTGTAGTGAGTTTTTCATAAATAGTTCCAATATTTATCCAGATGCATTCTAACCTTATAACCCACAGATGAGACTTTATTTGGCGATTTGTTATAGAATATTAATTTAAGAGTGATTTTTTTAAAATACACAACATAGATTTGTGAAATTGAATGGCGCAAGAAATAGGAACGCGCGTACTGGGCCTAGCTACTCAATTTATTATATATAAAAAATATGAAAATAAAAAAAAAAGAATAAAATGAAAACTTGAGTCTCCAGCCGATATTTGGTACGAACTGGGCCTGGCTACTCAATTAATTATATATATATAAAAAAAAAATAAAAATAAAAATAAAAATAAATCAAGAATCAAAAATAAAAAATAAAAATAAAATTAAAAAATGAAAAAAAATGAATAAAATGAAAACTTGAGTCTCCAGTCGATATTTGGTATGAACTGGGCCTCGCTACTCAATTTATCGTATAAAAAAAAAAATAAAAATAAAAAATAAAAAATAAAAAAATAAAAATAAAATAAAATAAAAAATATAGCATAGCCTTCTCCCCACCACCTTCTAATTCCTCTTCTTCCTATAAAACAAAAAAAAATGATAAATGTTATACAATTAGAAATATTAAAAAATTATTATAAATTATTAAAGGTTGCGAACCTCCTCATTCGAAAAGCCTTCTAAATTCCTCCGCCTCACGAGCCTCCTCCCCTTCTATTATTTCGATAAGTATCACACTTTCGTATGATGGAGGCGGGCTTCCTACGCTTTCATATGGAGGTGGACTTTCTGGACGTCCCATTTGTTGTTGTAGTCGTTGCTGCTGTTGTTGTTGCTGCTGCTGTTGCTGTTGCTCTTGTAGTTGCAACTGTTGCATTTGAAGTTGTAACTGTTGCAGTTGCAGTTGAAGTTGCAGTTGCAGTTGCTGCTCTGCTGTTGTTGCTGTTGCTGTCCTCTTGGACGTCGTCGAGAAATTGCCATATATCTTCTGGCATAATAGTTTTTTGTGGTTCCTGAATGTTTAGGCATATGGGGTGAGTGCTGGGAAAATGGACCAAATTGATTTTTTTTTAAAAAAAAAAAGTTTCTAAGTTTTCCCAGCACTCACCCCATATTGGAAATTTGTTTGTAAAAGTTTTAAAAAAATAAATTTTTTTGAGAACTTAATTTTTAACGAGAAAGAGCTGTTTATATATTGAATTAGACTTTTCTGATCGCCATCTATTGATCTTGTATAATAGCTTATCCTAATCGATCTAGTTACTTTGTTATATATTATACAGCATTTTTTTTTTTTTAAGTATTCACCATGAGAGAAAAATATTTTTTGATCATTTGTATTACCTTTATTCATAATTACAAATCAAAAAAAAAAACTTTCAATATTTATTTACTAATCTTTTTTTGGAAAAATTATCTTGAACAATAACAGTGGTTTTTTTTTAAAAAAAAATTCTTTAACATAATGAAAAGATCAAGAAGAATAATAATTTGTAATCAATTAATTATTAATATACATTATGTTTATTTGTCACACATTCCAGACGTTCCTGTACTTTCCATGCGACACTGAAATACTTTTTTGATTATTTGTAATCAGATTACATCGAGATATCACGTATTATGAGTCAATATTATCACATGAGCAGATACACAGAATTTCAGTATTATTTATTTTTTAAAGCTCCGAAACATTAACAATGAACACTTTTTTGATTATTCACATCGAGATATCACGTTTCATGAGTCAATATGATTACATGAGCAGATACACAGAATTTCAGCCGCTATATTATTTTTTTTTTTATTAATTTTTTTATACAATATCAGATATATCATTTAATCAGTTCTCACGTTTATGTGCTTTACACAAAATATAAACGATAAGCGCAAGTACAGATACACAGATACGAATTTCGGCCGTATTTCTTTTTTTTTCCTCAGTATTATTTATTTCAAGACTTTTTTTTTTTTTTTTTTTTAAAAAAAAATAACGAAATTTATTACAATAAATTTTATGTAGTCATGAAAATAAGAATCATTAATATAATATTATCACTAACAAATCTATTTAATGGGCTGCGTCCCACCTTCTGTATATAGAATATGCCCACGTAAAATGAATCGGTAATTAAAAAATTTTTTCTTGACGCATTTTTGTGTATTGCCTAATAACTTCATAACGTTCTTAATAAATTTTATAAATTTTTTATGATCGTTTGAAAGTAATAATTTTTGCTTCATTCGATTATTTTTAATTTACTATATCTCGTAAATTGAATATAAAAACACAGAATCCCGGGAAAATACATGATTGAATACAGAATGATTGTCACTTACCGACTTTTGAAATTATACTAATGTTTGATGTTATACAATATCCGATTGATTTCTACGATCCAAAGAAATTTGGTTCGGAACAGTTCCTTTGAACATTCATCACGGATCGACGACAATGCAAAGTGTTGCAATCAACTTTAAAAAAGGATGGCAATATCGAATTTATATTAATATCGTAAGATTTTAACGTGAATTTTATTCTGGCGGCTTAAAAATTTCGTGTATTGGTAAATCAGGAATATTACAGATAACTTTCGTATTCAATCTTATGAATGTTTGTAGTATGAAGATAATTATAATTTTATTTTTTGATTTTTAACAATCTAAAATTAACTAGATAATGAAGAAAAACCTAATTTACATTCAAAAACAGGTTAATAATTATTGATTTGTTATTTACATTCATTTATATACTCAATTAAACTTCAATCTATCTAGCTGTTGTTAATGGAATTGGCTATTTTATTTTTTTATTTAAGGTAATTAATTGACCGAATTTAGTAATTTGCAGATCTAGGAATCGATTTATTTTGGTTGAGTTTGTTGCTTG